GGCTGCCGTGGAGCGTTGTTATTGGTTACACAGTCTGCTTTACGAGTCTGGATTTAGTGGACCCTTGAGTTCACGAAAAGCGTACACCCTCCAATAGGAGGCATGCACGTTACCCACTTCAAACTCATCTTAACGTTAACAGGCTTTTGGACGTTATTCAATTGAATCCGGTTGAACCGGACAGAAAAAATTCTTTTGAATTATTTGAGAGATCATTTGAACTCCCTCCCATTTTCTCCTAGCCCTAACCCAGAAGCAAACCATCCGTGATTTCACTGTACAGCCGACGTTCGTGTGTGTGAAGTACACCGGCGGCAAGAAATCAATTGGAGATAAGTATCTTCTTCTTCTTCTTCTTCTTCTTCTTCTTATTCCGATGCTGGCAGTCATCATCCATCAGAACGAAGGTCCACCAGGGGAACAGGTACTCTCTCCACCGTATCATTCGAACCCTACCCTGTTACCAGATCATCGGTGACCAACACCAACCAACGTCCATGAGGAGCTTCTAGGTACATCACGAACATTACTTCCCCCGCCCCCACTATGGATGCACTTGAAGTTACATCAGTGTCATGTTGCTTGATTTTTTTAAATAATTTTCTAAAAAATGTAGTGACTGATATAAGCTACAGGTCTCTTAAGTCTTGATTATGAAATTCAAGCTAGCTCCTTACTAGAAATTGCTGGTTTCCCAAGACACTAGTTTCCTGTCATGAAGATCAATACTACTTTGGCCATGCTTAATTTTGGTAGGTATGCTTTACCACATTAAACAAAGCAATGCATTAGTTTGTTTACAGAAGTGCAAAGAGTTGAAGGTTAGTCTGAGCTATATTTTCTGTTTCTTTACCTATTTTCATTACTGAAGTTTAGTTTTTGGAGGAAGTTCCATTAGATGTTGCTCCACATTCTCTATGGAAGTTTAACACCATTGCTTTTCCAATTGCAGAGTTCTGTCTGTTAGCCTGTTCAAGATACTGGGTACAGGAAACAAGGCCAAGCTACTGGAAACAAACTGATGCCATTCATTGGGTACCCTAGAGTTTCCATGTGGCAATTCATGCCACCTGCTACAATTGGTGCCTCACATGATCATGTTCTCCACCCCCTGGTTGCTTAAGCTGGAAGATCTTGGTGATAGATTAGCCTTGATGTGCCTGAAGAAATGTTCAGTGTTTTTGATCTTTTTTTTTTGGAAAATTTCCTTGTTGACTTCATTTTAGTTGGAAATCATAAATAACCGGATTAGATGGGTTTAAAACATTCGGAATTTTGTAATTTTGTTAACCCGGTATTGTTGCTCATTTGTAAAATCGGATCCAAGTAATTTATTTTGGATTCTCGTCTGTGTATGTTTGACACATCAATGTTATTCATTAGATATTTAATCTACATATGCTATTTTTGCTCATTTCAGAATCATTCTGTTCCTTGGGTTAATTTTCTTGTCCCATGCGTGGTGTTGTCTGAACGCCAAGGGGCAGACAGAACTGCTCAGATGGAAGCATGTTTTCTAGATAGACCTGGCCACCTGTAAAATTTGAGCCTAAGTTGAATGTTAACAGTTAACTCAACATTCAAAACTTGGTAGTACAATTTTTTGCACAGGTCCAACAGACATTGCTGTGCAGCATATGATAGGATGAATGAATACTAGTATTTGCGGACTGTCATGCGGGATATGCTCTCATTTTCCAACAAAACTCATTACTAGTTATCAATTGAATGCTCTCATTTTTAATGAATACTACTTGACTGGTTCATGTTTTTTTTTTTATACTTTTTGCTTAGATGCAAGTTTTTCGGGTATGGTATCATTGTCAAACCCCTGATTTTCCATTACACCATGTCTGCAAGTGCAGGATGGAGTTTCCAGTTGTATTTTATCAATTGGCATTCTTTCTTGAACATGGGTAACAGACTAACGGCCTCACAAATGATTTTGAATCTTCGTAGGAGGCCAATTATATCGGCATTGGGCCACGACCAATCAATCTGATATACCCGATATGTACAGAGCTGATATGTTTTATGATTAACCAAATCTTATAATAAGGGAGTCGGGATTTCCTGCACTCGATGTTTGTATATGCTAAGGTGCACTTCCAATCAAATTGGAACGGGTCAAAGTTCGCGTGACATCGCGCATCTACAATTGAACGGCTAGTTTGCCATGTTAAATTTTTAATATCTTTCTTTTTACCAAATTAAAAAAATAAAAAATAGGTGTTATGAAGCAGGGGTGAGCAAAGAAATCGAAAAATTGAATGAAATCAAACCGAAAAATCGGTTAACCAAATCGGTCGGTTCAGTTTTAATTCAGTGTTTTTAAAAAATCCAAGGTGCCGGTTCGATTTCGGTTAACCAATATAAAAAACCGACGATTAACCGAACCAACCGGTATACACATATTTCTTTATATTTTATATATATTATAAATTAATAAATATGCATTATATATAAATATATATTTATTATTTATTATTTAAAATATAATATTTTATATATATTAATAATTTTTATTATACATTTATATATATTTTTATAATATATATTTTAAAAACTAAAAAACTAAAAAAACTGATAAACTGAACCGGCCAATCGATTAATCGACTGATTTCGGTTCAATTCGGTTCTTGTTACCAGTTTTCCAAAAACCGGTACTAAGCACCCTAGTATGAAGTATGAACACCCAGTTGACATTTCGATAGATGGAAAATAGGGGAAAAACAGAGAACCATTACAAAGCAAACCAGGCGGACGTCGTTAATGAACGATTGCATGGAGAAAATATTTATGTAAAGGTTTTCTTTTTTCTTTTGTAGAAATTTTATGTGAAGGTTCAGTATTTTTTATTCCACAAATGAAAATTGAAGCGACAACAATCTTGTTGTTTTGACCTTGAAATTTTATATATTTAACCTTCAAAATAGAGTTATTATCGAAACTAGTTCTCACTAGAAATGATTTTTTGTAAATGGCTTCTCCACCTATTTGTTTTGCAAACGTTTCGTTAATGGTGTCCGCCCAGGCTAGGGTTTTATTTGCAACAGTTTTCTTTGTTTTTTTAATACTCATTTTTATTAAGATCTCATATGCTTCACGAATATGTTGAACATCTTCTGTAGTAATATCTTCATCTGTGGAGATTAGCATTTATTGGGGTGATAGATTTATGCCCATCGATAAGATCTTCTAATTTCTCCATCTGATGTTTATGGAGGGTTGGAGACATGTGAAGAGGAGTGTATATCTTTCTGTTTGGAGTCCCAAATTCTTCTTCCTTTGATCTCTGCAAAATGAAGAAAAATGGATTAAGGTTTCATGAGTTATTGCCTGTTGATCAACACTGTTAAAATTTCCCTTTTTTACTATTTTCTTTTAGTTTTTACAATTCTTTTTTTTTTAAGTTTAAAAACTTTAATCTAACGGACAAACTGCTCCGTTTAAATGGGTTACACATTTGGGCCAGGATACTGTGCGAACTGTTGATGTGTCCCAATTTCATTAGAAATGCACCTCCGCACACATGAAATCGAGTGCAGGAAATCCGAGTACATAATAAGGGGTTTTATTATATTATTTTTTGAAATCATTTGTGCGTTACAAGTTGCATCGTAGGCATTTAACTTACAAATCATTATGGTAGTGTAAATACAAAGAAACCTCATAGAGCTAACATATTTATATCTTATTGAGAAAATAGGAATAGGGGCATAAAAACAAGAGTAGAATCTAGAGACGGAGAAGAGAGGGAGTAGGGCGGGAGGCAGCTTCGTTCAAATCCCCAATAAAATAAAACAATGGATTTATACTCCATGGAATCCAAAGGCTTCAAAGCTGGTAATCAGAACAGTACTAATAGCCATAACTATACAGACTGAGAATACAATGGAGGCCCTATCGTATTTCACTATGGCCCTCTGTACTACCAGTAACCCAAGAAGTATGCCACAAAAGTACCAATAGAAAAGATAATTTCATTTTTGTGATCTACGTGGGCCGGTAAGTATTGGACTGCAGACATTGAAGAAGAGAATCAAACCATGAAGGAACAAGTGGCTGCTGTCACCAGCACATAACAAAGCCATGGCAAAGATGATAACTCACAGTGTAACAGACATGAATCATGATATTTCATAGGGTTTACCCAGATATTGCATTCATGAAGGCAACCCCAAATAAATGAAACTTTGCTTGAGGCTACTTCTGTTGCACAAGATCATGATGGTAAGTAAGCTGGCCAATGCAGTACAAAACTCTGAGACTGGATCTAATTAGCAAGAGTACCCGTTTCCCCGGTGGACCTTCGTTCTGATGATGACTGAGGACCGCCGGTGTACTTCACACCCACGGGCGCCAATTATACACCGATGGTTTGCTTCTGGGTTAAGGCTTGGAGGAGAAAATGGGAGGGATTTCACCCAAATCCCAAATAATTCAAATTTTTTTTTTTTTTTTGCCTTTTTATCTTTTTTCTGTCCGATTCAACCGGGTTCTATTGACTAACACCCAAAAGCCCGTTAACATTAAGATGAATTTGAAGTGGGTGACGTGCACACCTCCTATTAGAGGGCGCACGCTTTCCGTGAACCCAAGGGTGCACTGAATCTGGGCCATGCCATCCCATTCAGCTAAACGTGTCTGGACCACAATCCACAAATACAACAAAATCAAAGCTTTTGGTGATTTATTTTATGGCACTAACTTGAATTAGATTTTAAATGAAGTCTTGGTGGGGCCACAGCAATAAATCAAAGTCGATAGATTTTCGGTTTCATAAAAGTTTGAGTCTTTGACCAACAATAAATGAGATATCGACCGACGATGACATATTGATATCTACCCATTAGTGGGCCCGAATCATTCGTAATAGGACACGTGGCAAGTTGCGAGCCTCTACAATTATGTGATATTGCTGGATCACCTTCTTCATAATTGTAATGAAATGAAGAGAATCAAAATTTATTACACAAGAGCTGATTAGTGTGAGTGCATACATGAAGATTGAATGATTCTGGAATTGAAATTTATGATAACAAGATGCTAAATTAACCATCCGAGGGTCAATCAACAGAGACCATAACATGAACAACAGAACTTAAAATTCAACACGACCAGACAGACCACTACTTCTATCCCAGACAACATGCACTAAATAGACTAATTTGGAACGAAAGGCCTGGACAACAGAAAGAGATTGTACTGGATATACGGACACACCAGTACAACCAACAATACAACAGTAGGTAATAGATTTCATTTGGAGAGAAGGGCCTCTTGCGATTTCCTGAAGAGCTTGTGCTGGATGTGCTGAGCGAAGGTGCGAGGCGGATAGCGCGCGGGCTCTGTTTCAGTGACGAGCTCCGGTAGTGGCTTGAGGATGATTTTCTCCTTTGGTGGTTCGCAGAAGACCGCCCACGAGATCCTAATCTTCTCCTTGTTCACCAGTCCTCTGTGAAGAATGCTCTTGTATTTGCCATTGCTCAGTATCTCAATGGTGTCTCCTACGTGCATGATGATGGAGTTGGGCACGCACTTGGCCGTCACCCAGTTACCATCGTAGAACGCTTGCAGTCCAGGTACCATGTTGTGGAGTATGAAGGTGAGAGAACTGACGTCGGTGTGAGCTTCAACGCCTAGAGCCAGCTCCGGCTGGGGACACTTGGGGTAGTAGTTGATCTTCATTTGCAGCAATAGCTCTTCTAACCCACCAACTTCTTTTTCCAGTCTCCCTTCTTCCACTCCCAACCCGAGCGACAGTGCTGAAAACACCCTGGTCGCTAAGCCTCTAAGTTGCCTCGCGTACTCGCTCGTCACCTCACTGCACGACCAACCATGGGCGCCATGAGCCAACCAAATCAAAATATCCAAAACCCAGTTAAGAACAAGTGAAGTACCAAAAAGTTCGGTTTGGAAGGAGTACAAATACAAATACTTAGAGTGCAAACTTTTGTATTTTATGTATTTATACTGTGCAAACTGAGCCAAAAGGACGGATTTACGGTGATAAACTTACGTGTAGTCTGCAGGAGTCTTGGGCCAGATAGACAAATCGCGCTTGTCTTCAGGATATATGAGGTGGAAGAAGTAATCCTGCCACTCGAGCTGGCCACTAGCATTGTTAGCCAGCTTGCTCCCATACCCGGCAATCTTGCCGGAGGCTTGATCGTTTGCATGCTTCTCCTTTTCCTCAATGGGGAGATCGAAGAAGATCTTACCAGCGGCCTTGACCTGATCGATGAGATCATCAGGGATGCCATGGTTGACAAGGTGCATCACACCCCAATCCATGGAAGCTTTCTTCAACTCCTCCCTGCATTTCTCTCGCTCTGCAGGGTCCTCCGAATTGAGACCCTTCAAATCAACAGTTGGAATTTGAGGTCCTTCGTCTGTTTTCTTCTCATCCTCAAATACGTTGACGATGTTGATCAGCTCTTCCTGAGGACGCACGTATTCTTTGGGGATTGAAGCGATCCCACTGCTGGCCAAGCTCTCAACTCTAGATGCAACTGCAGCTGAGGGAGCCATCACAACAATTTGTTTTTTTCTTCCTTTGTTTCTGGCGTCTCTGAATTTTACTATTTGCCAACGAAGAACTTCTACGGCCACCCCAGATGCGTGTTGCCTTTTTATAGAGCCTGATATCCCAACAAATATAATGAACAAAGATTGGAACTAATAAACTAAACCTCTAGCTTAACCTGAAAATTAAGGTAAGCACGTTATGCTAGCTACCAACGAGAGAGAGAGAGAGAGAGGGAGAGAGAACTGGAAGATAGGGCTCTGACCGACGGGTTGAAGCACGAACAGTCGAGCACTACGATACGGAAAAAACCGAAGGATGCACGTTGTACCCAACCCCTTTCTTTGGATCATTCGTCATAATCTCCTCCATTTTGACAGCTGCATTAGATAATATATAGAATACTCATTATCTGTTTATTTTTCTTTTTTTTCTTTTTCTGGGTAGACACAAGAGAAACTTCCACCAGGAGGAATGAACCAAGTTTTTCTCTTAGCCTAAGGCACATAGATAGGCCTCACTTTTAAGTGCCGGATCCAAATTAACTTTATGCCCGACCCGTGTGCTTTCCATGGAATATGGTTGGAGATAAGTGACCAGGAATCGAGGATTCCATATAATAAGAATATACCCCTCGGGAAATCCGGTTTATTCCAGGTTAGGTGGGCCTCGGGAAATCTGGTTTATTCCTTGTTTCAATGGGCCTCAAGGAAAACTAACTGGTTTATTCCTTGTTTCGGTGGGCCTCGGGAAATCTGGTTTTCTAGGTTGCAGGGATCTTTGTTGGCTGGCTAACGTTGGTTCTTTGTAAATTGTAGTAACCACTGACCATGCATGTCTATTCGATCTAAATCTTTGATTTAAAGCCTGTTCAATCTAACGATTTTTAAATTGTAGGTATTATATAGCTAACTAGGGAAGACCTAAGAGAAAGCTAAATAATAGAAAGGGTTATATATTAAAATATCTCTTATAGTTTTATTGAGTTATTAAAATCTACCATCGTTAGCATTTTACTAAAATACCACTTATAATTTGCAATAGATTTAATCAATCTTCCATTAAATGATAGTGGAAAATGATAGTGTTGACCTTAATGTTCATTTAAAAAAATTTAATCAAAAGAAAATAAAAATAAAAATACCAATCTTGCCCTTAATAAGACACGGGCAACCACTCTATTGGCTATATTTGGTCAATTTTGTTTTTTATACAAAAAAAAATGTTAAGGGTATTTTTTAAATAAAAAATCGTGGGCCTAATGGCAAAAAGTACTTATTATGGGTCGGGTTAAACCTAGATCCATATCATACCTAGTCCATTTAACTTAAGTCACATCACTTTAGTTAAATGGACCCGGTACAATATGGATATTAGTATAGTCCCGAACCATACCTGATCCACCCAGCCTTTCTGGATATCATCTCTACCATGTATTTCAGAGATATTTCTAGCTTTGGTTCTTTCACAAAATCAAAAAGTAGGGTTGTTCACGGGTCGGGTTGGGTCGGTTTATTGAGATTTTTTCAACCGAGCCGACTTGGTCGGGATACCTAAAATTGAAACCGAAACCGACCCTGTGTTAAGCAAAACCAACTTGGTCGGTTTGAGTCGGGTTGGGTCGGTTTGGGTCGGTTTCGACTCTAAGTTCAACCATGGTAATAAATTGGTAGATTGGGCGTTAGAGAAGTAGCTAGCAACATAATCCAACAAGGAAATAGCATAAATTAATAGAAAACAAGCCAATAACTTTGTGAAGCAAGAGCACCCCCCATGTGCCTGTGTGGTGCAAGTTTGGGTTGCAACTAGGAACTAACTACTTAGCCGGTTCAGTTTGGGTCGTTTTCGGTTTTCACACATGAAAACCGAAACCGACCCAAACCATTGGTTTATGATTTTTTACAACCCGAAACCAACTGGTGTTGAAGAAAACCCAGCCGACTCGGGTTGGGTCGGTCCGGGTTGGTGGGTTTGGTTGGGTTGGGTCTTCTTATGAACAACCTTATCAAAAAGAGTGAATGCCCAAAATTTGAAAGATTAGATATCTAAAGAAGGGTAAAAATTAAATAGAAGCGAGTTGGCCCTGTTTTCCTATCCTATCACATCCCTTCTCATGATCTGGATTTAAGAAGCATGATGAGGTGCACAAATGAGAGAGGGAGAAGGGAGTGATGATTGATGAGGTGGCTTCATGAGAGAGCAAAAGAGGCAAAAACAAAGAGGGTATGATAGTTCTTGGTTGGGGTAAGGGAGAAAGCTGAAGCTATCTACATGGCACCTACTTTAGCATATATACTAGTTGGAATCCATGTGGTGCACAGGATTTTTTAACTGAAGTGCAAATTAGAGTTAAATGGGCTTTTAAAGAGCCCTAGATACTTATAAACACCTTACAACAAAATTTCATAACAGATATCTAGTATGTCTGGAAGCGTGTCGTTAAACACTTTGGAACACCAGTTTAATATTTATAAAATTTTTCCGTTTCTTAAACAACTACTAACGTAGTAAATGGGTGAGAACGGGTCGTATCCACAGGGAAGCAAGTGAAAAATCAATATATACTTAGATTCGGACAAGAGAATACAATCAGGAATTGCAAAAAATAAGAAAATAGAATCTATTATTGCTGAAATTAAAAGTTTCGAATTTAAACAAGACAATAAATAAAAATCAGAATTTAATAAAGTATGGGAATCAACAAAGGAAATAAAAGAAATAAATAAATAAATGATGCAGAATCTGGATCCAGTGGCGGTAGCTGCAGATCGGCCAGACAACTTGCAGAAACCCCTCCTAACAAGAACCGGGCGTTTGTCCTTTCTACAACGCTCGAACCCCTCGAGACACCTTATCCTTGAACTGAACGAATTCAGATCTGCAAAACAGAGAAACAAAAAAGAATTAAATCTAAAAGATTGCAAAAATAAAAATAACAGAAAAGAAAATAATGGTTGATCAAATCCAGTGGCGGTAGTTGCAGATTGGTTGAACAGCTTGCAGGAGTCCCTCTTGACAAGATCTAGGTGTCCTCCCCTTTTACAACCTTTGAACTCCTCAAGAAACCTTAGCCTTGTTAACTGGGTGAATTGACCAACCCCTTCTCCAGGGCCCCTGGGGTACTTTTTATAGAGAATGGTGGATATAACTAGAATTAGAGAGAAAGAGGGGGTGGCAACTGGCCTTTAGCAAAAATATGGGTGCCCTAGGTTTAAAATGAAGGGTTAAGATGGTTCTAGGGTGATCCTAAGGCTGGAAAGAAAAAGGAGAAGGCACCTAATATTATGTAAGGGTAAGATTTAATGACTAAAGGTTGAATGGTGAAGATTAGAAGTTAGGTGGCTCCTAGGGTTAGAATGCTAAAAAGAGAGTGCCCTAGAAGGGATGGTGGAGATTATAAGGGATGGAAGGTGAGGATTTAGCAATTAGGGGCGGCTAGGGTTTGTTTAGAGTGAGAAGAATGAGTTAAAAGGCGCCCTAGGGTTTGCTAAAACGTGGGGAGCATGCTAATACAGTAGGAAGGGCGCCAAATTGGGTTTAACAGCTTGGAGGCACCCTCCTGCTTTCAGTTTTTCACAAAAACACCCATTCTCTCATCTGGACTTCACACCACCTTCCCAAAATCTGCATTTTAGCCATCAAAACTTTCTAGTTTTACACAGAATTTGCACAGACCTTCAGAGGCCACATAATTTATTTTAACTGGGAAAAAGGTGCACTTTGACTATTCTAAGGCCAAAAATGCTCCTGAATTGATGCCCTTGAGGCATCAAAATGTAGGGTTATCAATATCCCCCATTTAACCCTTCATCACACTAAGATTTTAATTTGGGCTATCTAATTGGCCAATATATCCATTTCTTAAATGCCCTTGATCATACTATTTATGGACCAATCAAACCCCAACAAATGATCCAAGAGACCAATACCTCTAAAAATTCCATTGTCAGCACCTTTTTTTTTTGCTCAATTCGCCATTAAAACCCCAATTTACCCCAAACACCCGATCATATGGTTATGATCCTTCTGAAGTACCTAAAAATCCATAAACACCGTCACCTGACTTAGGACCTCCTAAAATATTTACCCTTGAAATTTTAATCCAAGATTACCCTCTGTTTATTCTTTTATCAAACCAAGATTCCCTTTCGATCCCTCTCGTTAGCCTGAAGCATCCACAACCCAAATCTCCTTGATCTTAATACCTCTTAATCAATTAGACCATACAACTGAACCCTAGGCACACCAAAAACATCTACTCAAAATTTTCAACCTAAAATTCCCCTATTTGCTTGCCCCATCATCGAATAAATGTTCAGCACAAAATACCTTTGTTTGCCCCTCCATTACACCAAGATTCTATTTCAAAGCTTCGCATTGAATGGATTAAGTCCTTTTTGAATCTACCTGATCTCAACATAATTGGGCCAATCTAACCTTATCAGTCAACCCATAATGCTCAAAAATACCACCCTACCAAATTTCAATAAAAAAATCTCTCATTTTCCCCTCCATTACGCCAATATTCTGTTTTAAAGTTAATAAATTAACGGAACTACTACCCCTCTAAATCTGCTTAATTCGAACCTATTTAGGCCAATCTGATCGCACCAATTGATTCAAAATGCCTAAAACCCCACCTTGTAAAATTTCAGCCAAAAGTACCCTTGTTTGCCCTCCATATAAAAAGATTCCATTTTAGTCAATCTCCACCCTTCATTTTTTTAACCCAAAATACCCACCATTAGATTAGAATTTTGTTTTGGCCTCTTTAGACCTGAATTGACTAAAATACCCCAAATCTTACCAAAATACCTAGAATAAATAAATAAATAAATACCATAATTAATTATGGTATTTGTTAATGATATTTTTGTTATTAACTTATTTAATTAATAAATAGTATTATGAAAATGCTTTAATTAATTAATGGTATTTTGATATAATCAATTAGTAATTCATTATTTAACAATATTTTTATTAATTATGGTATTTATTTAATTATTTAACAATATTACATGTATTTTTTGTTACGGTATTTTTTATTAATTATGATATTTAATTAAATAAATACCATAATTAATTAATAAATACTATAAAATAATGCATTGCTAATA